GATTTTTGCCCCTTCTTACAAGAAAAAAGAGAAAACCACGAAGTGAACTTTTGAAATGGGTGAACCAGCCGGTTCCTTAAGACAAACGAATTTTGTGGTCAAGACTTGTCTAAATTCTAACTCCATCTTGGTGGTGGCGGTGCATTGGTGATATATATATGTTCCTAAGTATAAATATACGAAACCTGAGTTCTTTTTCGTGTCTAAAAGGAGAGAACATAAGAAACTGGTAAAGCATCCATCAATTTGAAGAAAACATCTTCAAGGAACAATGGGTCGTCGAAATTTAGCGTCTTATATATTGATTCTGATCAATATGATCACCTTTTTCCTCACTGCCGCTGAAACATCACCGGGTCGAAAGTTGATCATTGGCGAGTAAGTAATCGTTATATATTCATCTTTTTCCCTTAAAGATAATTAATTTGGAAGTGCCCTCCTCCAATTTTTATTCACTTATTTTCTCTGATTTCCATTAATTTTTGGGCTGATTCTTTAAGCTCCTAACAGTACTTAAATGCAGTATGTAGTGAACTGAGAATCATACATGTAGATATGCTAATTTGTGTTTTATCCTTTTTGTATATTTGTGCTAATTCTCGAATATTTTTTATGCTTGTCTACTCTCGGATTCTATTAATCACGGTAAGGTTATCTGATTAAGATGCAAGAAGCTCGAATCATAATTCGAAATAGTTACATGTATCATCGGTAATAAATATTTTTTTCGTCCCAAAATTATTGTCCAGTTTAAATTTTTAGTTTTAATACAATTTATATTATAAATAAAAATCTAAACTGAATATATTGAAATGGAGGGAGTCAATTCAAAAGTTCTCATTTGTACTTTTCACTTGGCACATTTATTCAAAAGAAAACCGCCATAAATTTTTTATAAGTTCCAGCCAGTCATGACGCATGGACATTTCATTCTTGTTTATATGAGTTCCTCACGGACAATTTTCCTCTTTTTTCCTTTTGGTTTGGATTATTTAATTGGCAGGGTACCCGTCAAAAGGTCTCCTTCAGGTCCACATGGCCGCGCGTAATTAATTTCAGACCTCCCGAAGTCAGATTGTTATGTTTGTGATGTGATTATTTTTCTTCTTCGATAGGCTAACTACAGTTTTCAGGAGAAAAAAATTTGTACGGTATGAATCCAGGCATTTTAGAGACCTACCATTAATCTAAAGTTTTGATTTTTTTTTTTTTCCTGAGTACAATAGAAGACAGATAAATACCTAATAACTACGTTATAATAAAATGGCATATAAAAACATTAATAACGTCGTACTCCGATGATCGCATCTTTTTATTTCTTAATTAATGGGACCCACACCAAAGCTTATATGTTTAAGTTTTTACAAAGCAAAATCTATTTAGTGACAGATATCAAATTGTTCTGATACTGCTTGTTGTTAATGACAAATTTGATCGTATGTTGTGGAATGATACGATGAAAGAAAAACAAATAGTGTTAAATGTCTAAATATTACATTTGAGGTCCCTATGTTCTGGAATATTAAAATCAACTCCAAATTGTATTTAGATAATAAGTATATATGTGCTTAAACTTTTCCAGTATTCCAACTGATGATTAATTATAATACTTTCAGCATATCTAATCGCTATTTCACTCCGGAAAATCAAAACATATATTACCCGTCTCACCCTATATACATTTAGCATTAATTAATTCCCGTAATTTCTCGGATTTCTAATACGAAAAAATTTTTCTTCCAATACTTTAACTACATTTTTGGTTGTTCATCATTAACGATTGTTCATCATATGATCACATTCTCAGATGCATATAATTAGTAATTAACTTTCTAGCGTGACGCATACAAATAATAAAGCATAAAACTTGGTGGATTCAACAGGTTTCTGGTGTTCTCATTCATACCCGATAAAGGACATGTTCATAAATCATAGTGCACATCCACGCTGGTCGGTAGTCTTTTGTTGGGATTAATTTAAAGTAAAAAAGGAAAAAAAAAACAACAAAAAAGTTGAACTCTTCGACCTACCCATTGAATTTGAATATAGAAGAAACTTAATTAAGGTTAATTTAATCTAAAACCCTGCAGTTTGTCAAAGATCGATGTGCTGCATTTTCCTCGTTGATGGAGTTAATTAATGAATTTAAACAACCTGGTTGCTATAACTTTTCTTGTGTATAAAAGAAGTGGAAAGCCCTCAGGACAACCACAATTTTTTAGTGAAGGACAAATCACAAATATATGGCTCAGAGATCGTCCAATATGAAAGTGGTTTTCATTATGCTGTTCCTTTTGATGAATGTGTTCATCATTCTGTGTGTCCATTCGTTTGAATCATCATTGATTACCAAACATATGCATCAAGGAGGGTACGTCATTAAGTTTCATTACAATTTCCCCAACTTTTTTTTCCCATGAATTTCAATGTTTCCTATATTACTACTTTTTTTCTTCCCTGTATCCTTTTATTTTATTTTATTTTATTTTATTTTATTTTATTTTTGGGTTTTTTAAGTTTGCCCTATACCTTGTTTAATTTCATATGGAGAGATTTAAAAATCAGCCCTATTGGAGGCTCTGAGCTGATCCATTTCTCCATATCGTTTGGGTTGTCCCCTTTTTTGCAAAAAGTTTCAAGATAGCTCTGAATTGCGACTATCATTTCTAGTCAAAGCCTATTTACGAAGTCAAAATTCACACCAGCATGAATCACAAATATACCAACCATTGTTTTTCATATTTTATTTTACGAGATTTTCGTTTTTTGGCTTATGATGACTTGATCAAATATAAATTTGGTTTTTGGCAATTAATTCGCAGAGTACCAAGACCACATTCTCCTCCCGGCCCACATCAATCTCTACGACGCTCTCTCCAGATTGCGAAATCGCTCAACAATTTATGACTGAAGACTGCAATAATAAGCGGGAGAACTCCACCAATGTACGTGTGAACTAAACATATTGTAATTTAACAATAGACCTTTTTGGCTAATTCGCAGTTTCACACGCTTTGTCTTTAGTTAATTTCTCTATTATTTCTTACCTCAAATTCTTGATGTTAATGTACTAAAAACTTTACGCTAAACATTAGTTTATGATACTTTTCATGAGAAGTGGGTTCCAAAAGCTACCTAACCCTAGTAATATTATTTACATTTCGTCTTCGTCATTGGTGCTTGATCATGACCATAATCATCATATATATATTTCAGTAATTCATGATCATATAGAGTTGGTCCAAATTAGGATTACAGAATGCGACAAATGTTTATTTTACTTATTCTGGGGGAAAAAAACACTATTGGATGTATTAAATAGTTTTCTCAGTGTAAAAAGTATGAGCATAATGTTATTTGGGAGGGAGAGAGAGTTAGGGTCTTAGGGATTAGGTAATTACAATTAATATCGGATACAACCAATTTTCCCAACCAAAAAAAAAAAAAAATTGTAGACAAATATAAAAACTATATAAGTATCAAAAGTGAGTCCGACAACAATCATCTCCAAATGAAAGCTCGAAATAATTTATAATCAAAAGACAGTTTATGTATCGACCATGATTCATGAATATCTGTGTTCTTTGAGAGTAGACTTTCAACTATTTTTTTCGGGGGGGAGACAAAAGAAAGAACTCTATTCCACATCGAAATGCCTGCCTGCCCATCCCTACGGGAGATATTGAGATGAGTTATATTCTCCACGCTCTGAAATAAATGTGATGTTTATTGTCATAAAACAAAGATATAATGAATCTAGTTTGGAACAAAGTAACGTACTAACTACTAATTCACGCGTGAAAGAAAAAAAAATTATGAAAATATCAAAAGGTCTAAATATAACATATATTACAGTTGATTTTAACGTTGACATTCCATAGCCGTGTTAAAGTCGTCGGAATCAAATTCGATACAGGGCATTCAACTTTTTAGTTTTTACTTGGTCGCGGCTTTCATTGTGAACTAAAACTGTCATCCAAAAATAGATTAACTTCAGCGTTCCATGTCTATGAAAACTTAGATTATTTGAAATATTTGTTGATTTATCATGTATAGGATCATTGTTAACATCACAAACTGTTTATTGTTGGAGAAAATTGTCAGTGTCGAGTGTTTAGTCTTCTTAGGGAAGTCGACGAATAAGTCGACGAAAACCAAAATCAATTATCTTTTTTTTTTAATAACTTCTCGATATTTTTCCAATTTAGTTATTAATTAATTTCTCAAATGCTAAGGATTATTCCAGTTTAGTAATTAAGTAATTTCGTGTTAAGATTTCCTAATGCTATGGTTTATTTACGTGAATCATAAATTTTTAATTTTCAAAAGAAACTCTGTTTTTTTAATGAAAACAAAAGAAACTGTCAAAGTATATAAGTACTTTGGGCTCTCATCTCAAAATCAATTGACAATGAGTGTGGAGGCTTTTAGAACTTATATACTGAATCACTTCTCTTCACGGTGGCGATGTGGGACAGATAATACACCTTAACACCCTCCATCAAGTCCAATGGGTCTTTGAACTTTTTGCCCAATGGACTTGGATCAGAACAAGAACAGAATAGCCCACGAGTCAACGCTCAAGTAAGAGAAAGCCAGTTATATCGCTGGATCGGTCCACAACAAGCACACGAGTCAACGCTCATGTGGGAGAAAAGTGTCAGGACCGGAGATTATCCAGTGACAGAATGGCAATAATCCTTTGCCAGAAAGACGTCGAGAAAACAAGAAAAGGAAAAGAAACGGCAAAACCATAGTTTTCAATTATCTCAAAATATTTGATGCTTTTATAAAAATGGATAAGTCAGAGTATATATAGTCTGACCATGTTTTCAAAATTACTTTCTAGTCACTTCACTATTTTATTTTTACAATTTAATCCAAGGCATGACATTCTCTCCCCGTTAAACAAAGTCTTGACCACAAGACTTCTAAGGAAAAACAAATCAAATCAGAAAACTTAACCCTGCATCAGTGAACTAGTTGGTTCCCAGCTAGAGCTAATAGGAACTTTCCAGGTAGAATTGATCCTTGGTTTTGTTGGCATTAAACTCACTCTCATAGGAACCAGCTACCCCAACATAGAAATGAGTCCCCCCTTTGAAGGATGTTGCCACCACAATCCAAGATTTTAAAGTCATCGCCAGTGTAATAGGTGATTTGACGTTAATAAGAAATCTGGTGCTTTTAGAGTTATCCATCCTCAGTAAAAGGTCTCCAAAACAACCTGATATTAACAGTTTTACAACTTGGTACCATTTTCGAAAACAGCCCTCAAGTGACTCTTCTCCATTTGCTACAGAATTCCAAATAGTTGAAATGTTAATCGGACTTACTTGAACTGGCAGCCCCATTTGATTTTTGATAAAGTTCACCACAACTTGCATTCTCTGCAACTGCTGAATGTGGACAGATCCCCTCCCACTCAAAATGTATTTGTCTTCAAAGATATGCCATAAACAGAGAAAACTGAATAACACTGAACACAAATCCGGCATGATTAGCACAATTGAGTCTCTCACAAATTCACTCCCAAGCACCAAACTATTTAGGTTTTCGTCAGGTAACATCATAACTATCAGGTGGAATGTGCTAACAACATTCCCTGCATCCGAATCACTCCCAGCGAGCTTAGTACCTAAACCATTTAACAACTTCCAAAAACTTTCAAATGTTGCTTCCTTCCCTAGTTTAGTAGCTACCCTAGCATTTTCCAAGGCAAACCAATAAGCTACAACAAATAGTAAGCCGGCATGTTGAAAAACTTTGCCAGTTCCTTCAACAATAATACTTCCTCTGAAACAAGTAACTACTGCACCCCCAGAAACATGCCTTTTACTAGTCCTTTCCAACACCATTATAGCACCTCCACATTCGTTACAGGTAACTAATGACCTGTTGATCCACAATTCCATTCTTCCTTCTCTCTTGAAAGCAACCTTGTCCTCATTGTGCAGAAAAAGAATACCCCCAAACAATTGATCAATCACAGTCACTTCACATTGGAGTTCTCCCAGATCAAATAGGAACACCCACTTCTCTAGTTTCTTCTTATCAACTGAGTGCCCAACTTTGTCAACAACAAGTGAATGCTTAATTCTAAGAAACTCATTAGTAACAATGGGAGAATCATCATTGCACAAAGTTCCTTTGAGTCCACCATGATCAATAACGAATAACCACTTCTCCAATTCAGTCTTATCAACAGAGTGCCCACTTGTGTCAGCATCAAATGAACACTTAACCCTAAAAAACACATTGAATTCACCAGGATCAAACACAAAAGAGTTTAATCAAATTCCATTTCTAAAAATAACATTTGTATCACCATTTTTTGGTTGGCAGAAGAAACTACTACAGCACTGGAATGCATATTTTCCCTAACAACCAATATATCGACCACAGTACTCAAAGGAACAAATTCATCACAAAACATCTTCGCCCTAAAGTCATCCTTTTCACAATTAACAGCATCAAAAACCTCAGAATTATCAATAGACTCCTCAACTAAAATTTTCTAAAGCAGCCAAATCTTCATCAAGATTTACTTATTCATCACCAAATTCGTCAATAGGAGTATTATTCTCAACAGGATTCAACGAAGCATCAAGATTGTGGAGCGAATTATTACCCTGTTCTGTAAAATCTGAAAGAATAGCTGGTGATTGTTCCGAAGATGAAGTAGGGAATGATTGAGTTCCTGATTATCGAAGCGTTCAATGAAAGCTTCACTAAATTCATCCCAATCACTCCAAATGAGTGATCCTTTAGCTAGTTTATACTCTCGGTACCAAATCACTGCTGCACTGTCAAGATGAAACTCGACGAGGAAGAATCTCCAACTTTCCAAGATCTCACGAGCAGAGAAGTAATTTTTACAGTTTAGAATCCAACTCTTAGGGTTTTTTCCTCGAAACATCGTCATCTCTGGCTTCTCTTCAACTAAAACTGCCAATGGCGATGATGTCTCAGAATTCTCCTCCACATCCGAGAAATAATGTTCAGAAGGAGCCGTCACCAATTCCTAAGTTTCTTGAACACCAAATCGTCGAACAAAACCCTCGCAAAAATCATTCCAAGAAAAAGGATAATTCTGACCCCTAATTGATTGATTCTAATCTTGAGCGACTCCGAATAGCCACTGCTGCACCCAATCAACACTATCCTCCTCCGGAACTTGTAATCAGGAACAAAAATAGTTGTAGTCAGCCACTCATCCGCATCATCTTCACCGTGATAATCTCTGGGAGCTCTGATGTTGCCGTCAGGAAGAATGAAAATATACTCCAATGATTCCAACGCCGTGATTCTGCAAAATTCACCTCCGATTGAATACCGGTGGTCGACCTTGGCAGTAGCGGAAGCGTCAAAAGTGAAATCCATTGAATCTGATATGATCGTTAGCTCTGATACAAATTGCAGGAGCCGAGATTATCCGGTGACAAAATGACAATAATCCTTCACCGGAAAGACGTCGGAAAAATAAGAATAGGGAAAGAAACGGCAAAACCGTAGTTTTCAATTATCTCAAAATATTTCGATGTTTTTACAAAAATGGATAAGTCAAGAGTATATATAGTCAAACCATGTTTCCAAAACTACTTTCTAGTCACTTCACTATTTTATTTTTACATTAACCCAGGACATGACAAAAAGCCACTTATACCGCTAGATTGGTCCACAACAAGCCCATAGGTCAACGCTCAAGTGGGAGAATATAAAATCACCACAGTCCACCTCCGGACCAAAACTTCACCACAAGCCCAAAACGCTCTGATACCATGTCAAAGTATATAAGTACTTTGGGCTCCCATCTCAAAACCAATTGGCAATGATTGAGTGGTTTTTAGAACTTATATATTGAGACACTTCTCTTAACGGTGGCGATGTGGGACAGATAATATACCTTAACGGAAACTGTGTTTAATTATAAGCATTTGTTGATTTCCATTAAAGGAATGAAGAAAATATCAATGGGTTTAAATATCACATATATAGCATAGTAAATACATTTGTTTTATTAGTTTGATAAAATTGATTACTGAGATGGTACAAATTTGGATTGACGAGTATATATCATCGCTCTATTAGACATTTCTCTCTCTCATCAAGCTAACTACTCGAAAAGAATTTTACAAAAACTCTTCAATGTTTCGATTATCTTGATAGTTCCGGTTTTGACTCCAACTTTTAAAAAATTCTGCAAAAGACTTGAATATAGAGGATAAGAGAGATTGGGGCCATGCAAGTGATCAAACTCGTCAATTGTAATTGTAGACTAGGGTAGGTAATTAGAAACTCATTAATTGAAGGAACAGATGTAATGCAACTTGGAATCTAAAAGGGATAGAAGTTCCATTATGTTGTACCGTTATTTCAACCAGCTGGAGTAAGATGAAATAATTAAGCCATAGGTAATTAGAAAGCTTAAGCCAGTAGGCAGTAGTCTTTTTTACTTTTCCCTCTGTCCCAAAAAAAAATCTAATATGACTCTATTTCAGATTTTAAAACTCAAACTAGATTTTTTTTTTTTTATAAGGACAGAGAGATTATATCATTCTTAAGTTATTATGAACTAGGCTTATGTAAGTGTTGCAATGAATTTGCTGAACCACTCCAATTAATCTTGTTTGCTTGACTGAGTTTAATCAGATAAACATCATTCTTGGGATCTTCTTCTAAACGAATTCAAAGTTTTGCAAGCAAGGCGAAGTTTTTGGCTGTATTCGAAGATCAAACGACCTAGTTTTCAGTTTTGATTAATCCAAAAGGAAATAACCTTACCAATTCCTTTATAAGTAACTGTAGAACAACATGATAGAATATATAAATACGAAAACCCTAATTAGGGTTTCTGATAATCACGGCTAGGGTTATTGTAATATTGTACAATATATATGATGTTGTACACATGTAATAAGACACGAAAAATATTCTTTCATAGTATCAATCTTCTTTCCTGGCCTCTCAATTTTTAGGCTCTCCGTTGTACCGCTGCTCCTTCTTCTCCATTCAATTTCTATATGATATCAGTTTGGTCTCTTGGGCCGTAGTCGGTCGTTCTTGTCTCCGTTCTTGACTGTAGCTTTCTTTGCTTCGGCAGCGGCGCAAGCCTTCTACGGATTTCTATTCGTTGGCGGTTGTTTTCACTTGGTACCTTTTGCAGATTTCTTGGACTGCAGCTTCTTCGGCTGCTGCATGCTTTTGCGTTTCATCCATTGTTTTTCTTCTCTAGCAGCCGCTGACTCTTTCCCTTGGCCACCCGTTTTCTTTGTCGGGTTCTCCTTCCCTCTTCCCCCACTCTTCTCTTGCCGCCGATCTTCTTTTCGGTCATACAAATAACCATCTTTTTCATCATCATAAAATGGTATAGAATCTACCTTCTCCCTCTTTTCATCTTCGGCAAGTCTTCCACAAACACAAACATCCATCCCCATCATCATCGTCAAAAAAAACAGAAAAACTCTACAACCCCCTTAGGGAAAAAAAATAAAAACCTTCTTTGTTTGATCTTCTTCATTTGCCTTTCATGTCCCTGCTGCTATGGCAAATTCGGCCGCCTCCGGTGTCACAGGAACTCCATCTTTTGATCCCCTTCAAACCACCCCCAACACCGCAACCCTGCCACCCTCTTCTTCTCCTCATCCGGCCATTGGCCTTTCAAATATTAAGAACTACATCATCTATGTTCTGGACTTCACCAACTACATGCTTTGGAAGGAACTCTTTCTTCCTGTTTTCCGCGGCCATGCCGTCATGGGTCACATTGACAGTTCAACTCCTTGTCCACCGACGACTCTCGCTGCCTCTAATGGTTCTTCCACTCCCAATCCGGCTTTTCAATCTTGGACCCAAATTGACTCTGTTGTGCTCTCGTGGATTCAAGCCACTGTTTCTACTGAGATCTTGCAGGCTATCGTTAAGCCCAATTCCACCCTCACAGCCCGAGATACTTGGCTTACGATCGAGAAGCTGTTTCATGACCAACTTGGCTCTCGGCTTCTCCATCTGAAGCTGCAATTCCACAGCTTGAAGAAGGGTGATTCCACAATCAATGATTATGTCACTCAATTGAAAATCAATGTTCTATTGAGTTTGATCCCTTTGATTTCACTTACCAAAAAAATCAATGATTATGTCACTCAATTTCACTTACCAAAAATTTTGTTTCTGTGCGTCAATTTCCAACTGAAAATCAATGTTCTATTGAGTTTGATCCCTTTGATTTTTTTGTGAGGGATCTTTGGACGAGGAACCCTCATCTACGTTGCAATAGTGTTGGTTCCCTTTACACTTTCCCATCCACCCTTTTGGATCAATCTCGCGCACCGTCTTCTTCATTATGTCCGGCGTTTGCTGCTTCCGTCTCTTCTCATGTCTGGCATCAATGCCTTGGTCACCCCAATTCTTCTGTTTTATCTAGATTAGTGTCACATCGCCGCCTTCCTGGTTCAGTGGTTTCCTCAAATAAGTTTAGTCTTTGTCAGGCTTGTCAAATTGGGAAGCATCATAAGCTCCCTTTTATGCCTTCTACTTCAGTTACTTTCAAAGCTTTTGATTTAATCCATACCGATGTTTGGACTTCTCCCTGTCTTTCATTTAGTGGTTTCAAGTATTTTGTCCCTTTTCTTGATGATTTTACTCATTATTTATGGGTGTATCTACTTAAACATAAATCTGAGGTACCTCACAAATTTATTAACTTCTATACTCTTGTCCAAACTCAATTCAATACTTCTATAAAAACTCTCCAATCTGACGGTGCTATTGAATATGTTAACTCTCATTTTCTTCAATCTTTTCTCAAATCTAAGGGAATTGCCATGCGCATTTCTTGCCCATACACTCCTCAACAAAACGGCAAAGCTGAGCGCATGAATAAGACTATCCTCAATATGGTCCGCACCCTCCTCAATCATGCTCACTTGCCACCTGAATTCTGGGTAGAGGCCTTAAATACTAGTGTTTATCTGATAAACCATTTACCTACCAAATCCAAGAACAATTATATTCCCTTCTCCCTTCTTTTTGGTACTCTACCTAATTATGGTGTCTTGCGGATCTTTGGATGTTCTTGCTTTCCTAATCTATCTCATTTAGCTTCTCACAAGCTCCAACCTCGGTCCACTCCATGTATCTTCCTCGGTTATCCTGAGTCTTATAAAGGTTATCGCTGTTTTGATCCTGCTTCCAAGAAAATTTACACTTCCCGTCATGTTGTTTTTTATGAAACCTCTTTTCCGTTTCCTCAACTATCTTCGATTCCACCACTCTCTACTCCCAACTCCCGTTTTAAACATCCTTCGTTTCTCATTCCACGGTCCATTCCCTCTTCCATAATACCTTCACTTCCTCAACAAAAAGTGTCAACTGTTCCTTCTGTACATTCAGACCGTACACCTTCTACTTCCTTGTCAACTAATTCGGGTCCTCCTTCTTCAAACCCTCCCACTCATCATATGGTCACCCGCACTCGGGATGGCACCCGTAAACCTAAACAGATCCCCTCTTTTACTACTACTACAACATCTTCACTTTCCCACGAACCAAATCTTTCACTGAGGCCAATAAATACCCTGAATGGCGAGCTCCTATGAGTGATGAATATAATGCTCTCCTCACTAAGCATACATGGGATTTGGTCCCTCTTCATATTTCTGCTAATATTATTAGCTCAAAATAGATTTTTTGAGTTAAGCTCAAATCCGATGGTTCACTTTATTGATCTAAAGCACGTTTGGTCGCTCAAGGTTACAATCAAAAGCCTGGTATTGATTATGATCAAATGTTTAGTCCGGTGGTTAAACCAGTGACAATTCAGACTGTATTAAGCATTGCTGCTTCTCGCAAATGGCCTGTCCATCAGTTGGATGTTAAAAATGCATTTTTGCATGGTCATCTCAATGAAATTGTCTATGTGAAACAGCCTACTGGTTTTGTTCATCCAGATCATCCTTACTATGTCTGTCGATTGAACAAAGCTCTTTATGGCTTAAAGCAGGCTCCCCGAGCTTGGTTTCACCGATTAAATGCTTTTCTGTTTTCTCAGGGTTTTACAGGCAGTTGCTCAGAGTCTTCTATGTTTGTGTATTCTGTTGGATCAGACATGGCGGTTTTGTTACTTTATGTTGATGACATTCTCTTGACAGCATCTAGTAATCGTTTGCTCACTTCTATTATTCAATCGCTGAAGGGTGCTTTTGCCATGACTGATCTTGGTCCAATCAGCTATTTTCTCGGTGTTTCTGTTGCTCCTCACTCTGGTGGTTGGTTTTTACACCAACGTAAGTATGCTGAGTAATTGTTGGCTCGTAGTCATCTCACTGATGCCAGTCCTGTTGCAACTCTCCTTGCTCCCGCTTTTTAGTTTTCTGTTGATGAATCTCCACCTTTTCACAATCTAACTCTCTATCGGAGCTTGGTGGGTGCCTTACAGTATCTTAGCTTCACCAGACTGGACCTTCAGTATGCGGTCAACCTTGTCTGTCAGCATATATATGATCCCCGGGAACAGCATTTTCAATCTGTCAAGCGTATTCTACGATATATTAAAGGCACACTTTATTATGGCATTCATCTCTGCGCTGGTCCTCTTGATCACCTGATTACTTATTCTGATGCTGATTGGGCCGGGTGTCCCACTACTCGCCGTTCTACCACTGGTATTTGTGTCTTCTTAGGCTCCTCTCTCATTTCCTGGTCCTCCAAGAAACAATCTACAGTTTCCAGATCTTCTGCTGAGTCTGAATATCGCGCGGTTGCTTCTGCTTTGGCTGAAACGGTTTGGTTAGAGAATCTTCTGTCAGAACTTCATATCAAGCTTCTTCAGCGCCCAGTGATCTTGTGTGACAATGTCTCTGCTATATACCTAGCTGCAAATTCTGTTAATCATGCTCGAACCAAACATATTGGACTAGACATTCATTTTGTTCGTGAACGTGTCGCTGCTGGTCTTCTTCGAGTTCTTCATATCTCCACCCAATCTCAACTAGCAGCTGTATTCACCAAATCCTTACCTAAGGATAAATTTTATTCGTTTAGAACCAATCTGTGCATGATTTCCTCTCCTGCTCCGATTGCGGGGGGATGATAGAATATATAAATACGGAAACCCTAATTAGGATTTTCGATAATCACGGCTAGGGTTATTGTAATATTATGCAATATATATGATGTTGTACACATGTAATAAGACACGAAAAATATTCTTTCACAACATATGACCTAAAGACATGCTACGTTGTAACTTAACGATAGATAGAAGTCTTTAATTGCTTTGGCTTATTAGAACCGTTGGTCTTCGGTTGATGTGTATCTATGATTTCAACTTGAGGTTGAGGGACTAAGAGAGAGTATTGTTATTTAGTTCAGACTCTAACGAAAATAAGTGACCCCGTGCACATGGGAATTAAGGGTTTTTGTAAATTATATACTTGCATTGAGATTACTCCAAAGGGCTTAATATAGATCAAGTTGGCTCTAATTTTATTTTGAAGGATTAGTATGTTGAACTAGAATGAAAATGACAAACAATGGAAATGCCACTACAAGCTTATCATTAGTCACATTTGTGTTATGTATATATTCCATGCTAGAATATCGGATCTTATACTTGTATATACTACCGCGTTATACTTGTTAATATGAAAAAAAAAAATGGATTTCAATTTGGATAGTATGTACCTCTGATTTGTAAGTAAAAATTTCGTAGGATTACATCGAGGGAATACAAAAAACACGAGGTATATGAATTGACCATGCATTAATATCCCTTGAAATACACGGTTTGGGACTTATTCGTTGAGAAGAAAGAAATTTATTTAAGGCGACCAAAAAGAAAAATTCCTTCCTCCCATGATATTATTTAACGACTAAAACTACACAAAGAAAAAAAAAATGAGTGGATGACGAATTAGTCCAATCCTTTACTTTGAACTTGAGAATTTCAGTCCATACATATTGATGAAGCCATTTAAGACTTTGTTATTTATTTACTCTATGTCTCGTAAAAATAATATACATTTTAGTATCTGAAATAATATAAACTTTCTGAATTCTAATATAGATTATGTTTATAGAACGGATGAATATATGATAACGATGTTTTTAATCCTCCTTACACACAATAAAACTACGCAACAGATTCCTTATATATGAGTAGGGCTGGCAATCTCTGACCCGACCCGGAATTTCAACACGAACCCGACACGAAATAATCGGGTTAAAGTTGGGATTTTGGACTCATATAATAAATAAGTCGGGTTAGTGTTGACCCTTTTATTATACGGGTCGGGTTCGGGTTAACCCGCCGGGTTAACCAGGTTATCCGCATAAATGTAATTTAAATCATTTTTATGGGTAACTTTGGAAATATACATCAAAATTTTACCCTAATTTTTACGGGTGATTCACACCCAGAGCTCACTTTCAGTCTTTGTCT